CACTGCTGGCTCAGGAGCCTCATGCTGCGAGCTGCTGTCCTGGCACATCGTACATACAGACGCTTTCCAACAGACCCATCAGGTCACTCTGTTAAATGCAGCTGGTGGAGTAAAAACCACAGTGACTTCCCTGGCTGGTGTAGTGCTTCATGTAGGAAATGAGTTGAGGCGGTTCCCTGAGGTTAGGGGACACAAAAGGCATGATGTTTCTCTCCCTCTCTCCTTCCCTTCCCCTCTAAAGATAAATAAATAAAATCTTAAAAAAAAAAAAAAAAAACCACAGTGACTTGAAAGCCGCAATATCCAGTTTTAAAAATACAAGAAGCAGCTCTGCTTGACTGTCGGAAATTGTGTGCTGTTCCCTTTTCTCCTGAAGCCTCACTTCTGCTCCAGCTCCTCCACTGAACTGCCTGCCGCTGTAAGTAACACATTTTACTCTGCAAAGCATTTTATTGACACTCTTTCATGTGTCCCTGCCATAAATACACATATGGCTAGAAGTTGAAATGCAAATTTATGTAAATTTCTTGTAACTATAAGGCTCTGAGTGTTCAAAACTTTTATTTTGTATTAAATTATTATTACTATTATGGGCAGCATATGATTAAACAAAATAACATATTTATTAAATATGAAAAATAAAATGTCAGAAATATATCTCTTAGTGAAACTGTTATTCTTTCTATTGGTTTTAGTTTTTTAATTACTATTACTTACAGCTAAATGATACAAACTTCATTATGAGTGCTTTTCTTAATTTTGGGTTTTTTTTTATAGACACAGCACCAAAGAATGTTATTTACATGAATAAGTGGATAAAAATGGAATGGGCTTTGTGCAGTTTTACTTAATTATCTCAAAGCCTTCCAAGTTATAGATCAACAGTCACACAGTGATCTAACACCGAACATTATTTTTTATGGTCTACCGGCTAAAAATGTGTTTAGGTTCTTCTTCCACACAGAGCAAAGCAAAGAACCAGAAAGCACCTGGCTGGCCAGGGGCTCGTTCCCCGAAGACGGAGTCGTTCTCTTTTTCGGTTTGACAGCATCATTTTGGACCGCCCCTGCGCTGCTGCTGCGCGGCCGATCTGGTTTTCTTTGCTTTCTTTTCTTTTTTTTTAACCTGTGAAGGGTTAGGGTGAAGTCCCTGAGGAAGCTCTATTTTGGCTGATGTTAAAGATAAGAAACTCAATTTTCTTAGCTCAAGTTCTACTGAATAGATTTTTATTAACCAAACTCTCAAGAGACTAATTTATATGCCACCAGGATACGCTTATTATTTTGCAGTGGGAGACGTGCTGGATTGCATATTTCCCTAGGAAGCACCACACACACACACACACACACACAAGAAAAACAAAAACAAAAACTCAAGGGAACTGTTTTGGGTGTTACTAAATTTCTGCTGAGCTGAACAGCAATGACAAACCTCTCAGAGAACCAAATTAATTCTTAGAAGGCTAAATGGAAGTACTTGAAATCAGTAAAATGGGAAAGATGTAGACCTAAAGGACATTAATTTAGGATGTTACATTTATACAACTCGCATGAAACCACCTTCCTTCTAGGGACACTTCGGTGTAGATCAGTCCCTCTGTTTGCAGTGCTCAGAAATCATGGCCAATCCCCTTGTTGGCACCACTCGCCCCAGAGTCCAATCCAGGAACGACCCTTACCTGAAATGCCAGGGCCCGATTATGCGGCTTTTGACTGTGAACTTATTCTCTAAGGCAGTCATCTTTCTGAGCTGGTGCCACTTTTACCTTCCTCCTGGTCTCTGGCACCCTTCTTTCAACTTAGGAGCCTGCGAAGGCTTTCGTATGCTTCTTTCAGGAAGGCCTCCATGCACCCATTAGCCTCCTCTGCATAATGCATCTCTGTGCGGCTCTCCAGGCAGCTGCATTTAGGTGCGTGAATTTGTAGTGAGACAGCAAGGTCACATGTTTCACTCCACAGCCTCAGATGAACGCTCACCTTGCTGTTTAGACTCATCACCCAGCCGTGGGTGTGTGTCTGGGCCTTGAAAGTGCACACACACACACTTGCTACAGCAAATCTTCGGGGCACTTTTGAGGGCTGCTGGCTGCCCAAAAGTGAGAATCTGTTTAAACCAAAAGTGAATCGAGTCAAGGAAGAATCTGGAAGACTGGGCCCTGCTTAGACCCCAGGGAATGCCATGCTGAGACCTGGGAAAGAGAAGAGAATGAGTTAATATGAGGGCTGGCAGATCTCAGAAGAGTATTTTCCTCACAAAACCTGAAAATAGCATATGGAAGTAGGACATTTGAGCCTTATGGAAAAGAAGTAAAGGCTATTTTGTAACAAAGTACGTGCGGGAAGGTAGGGGATCTCTACAGCCCGGTGTGTGTCTGAACCTGTCTGAACCGTCTGAACCGCTATATATCGAACAGGTCCGTTTCAGCTCATAAAATGTAATAAAGTTAATTTCTTCAAAGTGAAGATCTCCCCCATCTGCCTTTTGTAAAACAGATGTTCCTTATCACAGATTTCCATATAAACAATAAGCAACAAACTCTTCCTTCAAGCAGCCGGGCTGTGGAGTGCTCACAGACACACCAGTTCTCAGTAACTCTCCGATAAGAGCGGGGCAGCGTTGAGTGTCCACAGGTTGGTAGGGAAGGAGTGAGAGCTGCGTGACCCAGAATGCTCTGGCCCCTGAGCCGAGGGTGTTGGGCTCTCTTCTGGCCCTGACCCTCCCTTCTCCCTTGGCCAGGGCTTTGCTTTCTCATGAGTGTTAAATGCATCTTGAGTGGAACATTTCATTGAAAAAATATGCATTTCTATCACCATGTATTAATTACCTCCTGCAAGACGGTTGTACTACATCAGGACTCCTGCTTGTCCATTTGGTGCTTTTGGACAAATTAGAAAAGGTCTCCCTTACAATTTACCTTCTTCCACTATTAAAAAATTTGTCATCGTACACTGATTTTGTTTGAATAGGACTGTTGGGTGCCATTTTCAGAAAAACTGTCTATGATGTCCAAACAATTTGGATTCAAACTCTATCCTGCCTCCCCCAGCGGTGTGCTCTTGGGCAAACTGTTTAACCGTTCCAAGCACCAGGTTTGTCCTATTTGTAAGCTGGGGAGAATATACCTAACTTTCAAGCTTCTCATTGGGATCAAATGAGATGATGTGTGTGAAGCACTTAGCATTACCCTCATGAAACAGTACAGGTTGTACAAAGAGGACAGGCACACACGTGTGCACAGTGTGCACTGATACTAGGATCTGTCAGGGGAACACTGACAAGCAGAGAAGGAAGGAGTGTTTGCGAGGCTCTCCATTACCACCCCATTGCCCACCAGACAGGAATGTGGGACTCAGCACGGGAGGACGGCCGCAGCATGGAGAGGCCCCAGGAGAAGGGCCCAGAGCCGTCGGCTCTCTGCACGCATTGCAGACAGAAGCGTGGCCTCATCTAGGTAACTCTGGTTATCTTCTCTGTTCCTAAGCCTGGAAGCAGTCTTGTTAGAAAGGGGAGGCTCTAGGCCAGCAAGAGCTTCTTCCTCCATCAGCCGGCCCTGACCGCCTGAGTGGGCTTCCTGCTGCACACGGGAGGAAGTGGGCCCCCAGGGCCAGAAGAGTTTTCCCTCTTCTGTGTCACTCGAGAAGACATGCGAAGACACTGAGGCATTTGCTTGCCCAAGGCTAGAGTAAAACTCAGCTTTTCCAGTTTCTAAGACCAGAGATCTTGCTATTTGGCCACGCTGCCTAAACTAACAAGTCGGCCTAGAAATCACTGAGTTAGTTCAATTGACATTAGTTCCGGCTCTAGCCAGCTAGCTCAGCTGATTAGAGCATCATCCCAATATACCAAGGTGTCGGGGTTTGATCCCCTGTCAGACCACATGTGAGAATCAACCAATGAATGCAAGGGGAAGCTGAGGGAAAGAGAGAGAGAGAAACATTGATCTGAAGTGGAACAACAAATCAGTGTTTCTCTCTCTCTTTCCCTTCCTTTCTCTCTAAAAATCAATTTAAAAAGAAAAAAGAAACAGTTCTAAATCTCTTAGAGTCATACATTGAAAAAGACATTAGAGATAATGTCATTCAATCCTTCATTTGTGGACAAAAGTGAGACTCGAAGTAGGCAGTTTATTTGATTACCAGTAGGCAGTAGCGCGGTCAGCACTTGGACGTTTATCTTCCAAATTCCATTTCCTCTTGGACTGCACTGAAGTGCAAGGCAACCTTGTCTAGCACATGAGTCCCAGAGACCCGGCACAGAGGAGCTTTCTGGCTTTAATTTACAACATTTGGAGGAAGAGACAACAGCTTCTGGAGTAAAACAAGAGAGCAAGGAGACCCAGAGACGATGGGTGGATTTTGTTCAAAACCTCTCATTTCTACAAACAAGAAAGAACAACCAGATAACTTAGCAAATTGAGATCAGGAGAACACCACATATTAAAGCCTATGAGACATGGTCAAAGGTTGGTTCAGAGGAAAAGTCATTGTTAAACCTTTTCAGCTTAAGACAGTGCGTGTGAAGGAAGTGATTATTTAAGAAGATGGGGAAAGAATAATTTTTTTAATCTTAGAAAAGAATTGAAAATGAAAGCAGAGTCTGATGAAGGTGAAAACAACATCCTTGGAATTGATTTTTGGGAGACCCAGGTCCTTGGGTTCTTGCATTTCTGCCCCTCACTGGCTGCTATTGTTCTGGACGGTCTCTTCCAGGAGACTTGTGCAGCCAACAGCTTTGGAAGGTAGAGCGCCTCCATCCCGAGCCAAGGGCAGGTGTTCTTACTGTTCATTTAAGAAGATTCAAGCGCCTGAAGCACAGGATCCTGATTCCCCTCCCGTAACTCAAACCACCACGTGAGTGGGCTTCGTGTTGTGGATCTGTGGGAAGAGGGGTGAAGGAACTGGCACAAGGCTGTCCCCCCCAGACCTGGGAGGCTCCCAGGTCCCACCAGCAGACTACCTCGTCTGTGTGCACGAGGGGTAAAATCTCAGACCTTTGCAGGTCCTCACCTTGATGAAATTCAGAGCTGGCTCGCTGAAAATAAAGGAAACAGCAACAATAAGCAATAATAAATGACCCATTAGCAAGTCTATCTAGAAAAAAGGAGAGGACCAATAAAGTTAGGAATTACAAAATGCATTAACAGACATACATACTGGAAATTATAATTCCCTCTTTTAAACTTTTATGTATTTGAGATGTAATTGACATATAACATGATATTAGTTTCAGGTGTATAACATACTATTCATATGTAAGAAACTATAATTCTTATAAAAGAATTATTTGTAGAAATATGTGCTAATATTTTGAAAATATGAGCAAAATAAATAATGTTTTAAAGAAAATATAAAATAACCAAATTCACTCAAAAAGAAGCAGGAAACCTAAGCAGGGCAATCTCATGCAAGAAATTGAGAGGCCAAAGCCAAGGTCAAGGTCTACCCAGCAGATCAGCTACATTCTTCCAGTGCCTGCCCACTGGCTTTTCCCTGGCCCTGGATCAAAGATAGATGACCTCATCAGCCTGCGCGGCCCATGTCTGGCTCTGCTTGAAGTTGAAAGTGGAGGTCAAATCTGCCGGCCTTGATCCAAACGTTATGATGTGATACAATGACCAACTTCATTGCATTTTTCTCACTGGAGAAAAAAGAAAGATACAAACAATTTATATTAAATAGTCCAAATACAAATTTCTTATGAGTCCTATTTGGTTACGCTGTTTTTTTTCTTTATAAAACATCGACCTTGCCCCAGCAATGCTGGCTCAGGAGTGACTGATTCTGCTTCGACAGGGACGGCAGCATGCCCAGAAGGACCGCTGGGGTGCCCACCAGTGCATTCCTTTGGTTCGATCTGCTGTCACACAGGACGGCCTTTCCCTGGGTCCTCCGCCCATCGCAGAGCGGCAGCAGCAGGACCCCAGGACTTGTGAGAAGTGCACATTCTGGGGTCCCACCCCGGGTACTGATTCAAAACCTCTAGGAGTAGCCCCCCATAATCTGTGTTGTAAGGAGGTGCTCTGGGTGATTCCGAGGCACACTCCTATGTGAGAAGGACTGTAAACGACCTCATTCTTGTCATCAGACAGTAATTCAGCATCGGTCAGAGCCCACTTCCTGCTGGGTGCATCAAAACTCCTCAGAAGGGGAAAATTCCATTCCTTTGCACCCCCTCTCACTATAAATAGTGAACACTGGCTCACCAGCAGCTGGAGTTCCGGCCCATCCCCACGGAGCGCTCCGGGCTCAGCAGGACAGCTGCTGTGGAGCACCAACAGCGGGAAGAAAGGGGTGTCCACGTGCCCGTGGGGAAATTCCACCATCTTTCAGCCCGGCTCAATGACCTCAGAACACTTCTACAGCAGAAGATTAGAAAGCAAGGGTTGCCCCTTCTTTTTTTTTTAATGAGAAAAGCTAAACTGGAACTAGTTCACAGTTTACAGCCCCCATTCCTAAATAAAAGTGAGATTAGAAATAGCAAGACTTAAGGCAACCAAACTGGATGGGCCAGAAACTCAAACCCTTTCCCTGCCTCTCTTACTAATCTACCATGAGACCTTGAGAACATTACTTAAGCTTTTAATTATTTAATATTCTGTGAAATATGAGAGATAGTAACCCCTCCTTCTTTCAGCCAGGTTTTAGGCACTCCTGATCCTACCACCACCCCCGGGAGGTGTTCCTACCCCACATTACGGAAGAGAAGGCTGAGAGGCTCAGAGACTGCCTTGTTGGTGATAGAGCTTGAATCTGTGGAACCCAGGTCTACTTAACTGCAACAGCCAAGTTCCTAAATTCTACACTCTTCCGAGTTCAGCCTAACCAAGGGGCGGCTGTGATGTGCCAGGCTGCACCGAGCCAGGCTGCACCAACAGCCAGACAGAGTCCTGCTACAAAGAACCCCTCCCTCTGTGAACAAAGCGAACGTTTATTGATAAACAGACCCAACTGAAGAGTTCGATGTTTTTACATCTAAACACACCTGACGAGCAAGATCTCTGTAACAATAACATCTTGCAGGGAAGAGATTTTAGCCAGCAGAAAGTAAGACCCTGGTTCTCGATTTGGAGAATTTTTTAAAAAAAGACTTCTGTTTCTACCCACCACCCCCAAAAAAGGATGAGAGTCCGAATCCCAGCACCTCCAAATGTGACCTTTGAAAACAGGATCTTTGCAGAGGTGACTGAGCCACAGTGAGGTCACTAAGGTGGGCCCTAAGCCATCATGATGGGGTCCTTTTGGAAAAGGGAATTTAGAGGCGGACACACACACTGGGAAGGCCATGTGGAGACACGAGTGGAGCACACATCACATGACGGGAGTGAGGCACCTATAAGCCAAGGAGTGACAAAGATTGTTGACAAACAGCAGAGGTAGGAAGAGACAAGGAAGGATATGCCTACGTGTTTCAGGGGGAGCGTGGGCCCTGCCGACACCTTGATCTAGGCCTTCTGGCCAACAGAACTGCGAGACGAGACATTTTCATTGTTTCAAGTCGCCCACTTTGAGGTGCTTCAAAGTGGCAGCCCCAGAGTGTTACAGGCATGACCTCGATTAGTCCTCCCAATAACCCAGGGACGTGGGCTTATCGTTCCCACTTACACTGTACCATCCTCGCTCGTTTTAGAAAAGAGTCTGGCATGGCTGAGCAAGATGAAGAAATCTGCTGCAGATCAGCCAGCTAGAAAGGGGTGGGACATGGGTTTGATCTCTGGCCGTCTGACCCCAAAGCCTGCCTTCCATGGTACCCTGCTGCCCACACTACAGCACCGGCTCCAGGGAAGCGCTAACCCCCGGAAAGAAAACCTAGGCAATCCCTCAACCACCGGGGCCAGTGTTCACGGCCTCGTCTTATTACTTTGCTTAACGTCGAATTGCAGGTCAGATATAATAGGTTCCTACCAAAATTCAGTAAATGTAAAATGGTTTCCAATTAAGTCAGCTGAGATGACTCAGACCCTGCTTCTATTAATATAAAGCAATCAATAGTGGAGTCTACATATCTATCATAAAGATAAAAGCAGTAATATAAGAAGTACGACGGCCCTGGCTGGTGTAGCTCAGTGGATTGAGTGCGGGCCTGTGAACCAGACGATCGCAGTTCGATTCCCAGTCAGGGCACATTCGTGGGTTGCAGGCCAGTTCCCAGCAGGGGACGCACCAGAAGCAACCACACACTGATATTTCTCTCCCTTCTTCCCTTCCCCTCTAAAGATAAATGAATAAATAAATCTTTAAAAAAATGGTTTCCATTTCTCCGCGGATGAAACTGAGCCACTGCAGAAGGAGGGGGTGAGGGGGCGCTTCACCCAGAGGACCTGCTGTAACGAGTTCAGAACCAGGGCCTGCAGAGTCTGCCTGCCCATCTTACTCTTAGGCCAGTAGACTCTGCCTCCTTGGGAAGCAGACATGTATGTGATGAATTCCATATACGCCTGTTTACAAAGGGATGGCACAAATGTGATCCTTGTTTTTCCATGAGATTTCCCCCCTCCCGAATTAGCTCAAGGGAAAATATAAACTATTAGGGCTGCAGATGAAAGAATCAAATGTGTGTAATATTTAATACATTAATTTGGTTCCTTCATATTGAAATCACACATTCCCTGGAATAATATCTTAATGAATAAATATTGCTATTTTTAGTTTCACATCGTGAGACAAATTTATTCAAACTCTTCATAGACATCTTCAATGTGAATGTCTTCTTCATCACTAGGGCCCTTTCTTCTCCTGCCTAAGCACATGAAGTTCCCAATAAGACACTATCATTGGGAATGTTACCTCCTTTGTATTTTCCTTCTAAATGGAGATTGTCATTGCTACAAGGGTAACTACTGCTGGTGCTTTTAGGTGATCTTTAAGAGTTCATTAGCAGTGATAGACAAGACAAGTGTGAGGTTCTCTTTCTAAGAATAGTAACTAGCCGATTGTGTGTTGAATTTCTTTGCATCCTTCTTTGCCAGTTGTAGCAACAGATCACCTCCACGAGCTTCCCAAATCAGGGTTGATTGGACTTGTTTCAGGTTAACGGGTGCTTCTCCAGTGCATAGAACACTTTTTCATGCAAAACAACACAAGAAATTTTAGAAGAACGCCCCTGTAAGGAGATCCCTGTCTGTTTTGTGAAGCCTTTGAGCAATGAAAGCTTTGGCCTCGAGGTAACAGCACCAAGATCAGATATGGGGGGGAAATGCCTGAGATTACATAGTGGTGTAATCTCCAAGGTGAAATGATGATTTTTCGATGATGAAACCAACACTGAACCTTTTATTTTGTTGTATTATCCTGCTTATACTCAGATAACTCAAGCAGAATTTCCCTGGGAAAGCTCCTGAACCGTTGGATTAGCACAGCCTTGGGTCTTGGAGGGGTGGATGAGCCCTCTCATTGATTCTTACCTCTAGAATTCGAGGGGTGGAAGTGTGGGAGGTCTGCGTGATCGTTTCCTCAGGCTCCGACCTGGCCAAGTCCCAGGTGGCCTGAGGAGGCGTGGCTTTGGTTTGCAGCCTCAGCCAATCAGATGCAGGGGTGAGGTGTGGCCCTGACAGCTGGATAGTGCACTCCTAAACCCCGCCCCCTGTTCTAAAATCTTCCACACCCTAGGCCCCGCCCCTGGCCCTACGGCTCCTCCTGCTCTGGTATAAGCTTCATTTCCTCAAGCATTAGTTGTTAAGACAAACATTTAAATTGTATGTCTTGCTTGTTCTCCCTGTTTTGTTTCCTAGTACTTCAACCTTTTTTTTTTTTCTGCTAAGCATGGTAGGTTAAATAGGCTTTTGTAGACTAGTCTGGGGACGTTGCTTGCAGTGAAAAACACATTCTGTGCTGGAAACAAACACCATACACAAAGAAACCTCGGGAACACGACCTCTTTGTCGAGTGGGGACTGCCCGTCCAGCCTCATGCATGAGAGTCAAAGCCTGCAAGCGTTCTCTTTTCAAATCTGGGCAGCCTTTTTTTTTAGGCCTCAGTCTGGAATGAAAAGCTATGAATCGGGCCTCATGTGGAGGGTCCTGAGAAACAGACCACTCTGATTTTTTTTTCTTAAATCATCCTGTTTCTAACTAGGAAGGGTGGATGTAGAAATAGTAACATGACTGCCTCCTTTTTCTTTAGAAAAACACCAGTTCTGGGAGGAGAAGGTGGTAATAGGTGATGAAACTGTTCCTTCACTTGACAAAGATAATCTTCTTGATTAATTAAATTTCCAGCAAGCGTATATTGAGCACCTGTCATGTGCTGGATGCCATTCTAGTGTTCCAGTGAGAACTCTGACAATAGGAACAGGGTCTGTGGGGAGATGGACACCAGGTAATGGAATAAAACAAGTAACAAGAACAGGTCAAGGAGCGACAGACGCTGCCATGAGTATAAAGCAGGAGAAGCATTAAACAGGAGACGCGTGCCTGGGCAAGGACTTCCGTCTGAATGAATGTTTAGAGAAGGCATCCCTGAGGAGGGACTTCTGCATTAAGAGGAAACCCAGCTACGAGACAATATAGCAGGATTCCAGGTAAAGGGAGAAGTGAATGCAAACGCCCTGAGGCAGGATAGAACTTGATTTTATTCTAGGAACAAAAGGGCCAGTGCGCTGGAGGACAGCAACTGAACAGGAGGGAGCATAATGTGAGAGCTGCTTCCAGAGGTGGGGAGGGACCAGATAGATACCCAGCCCCTGGCCTCCAGGTTAGGTTGTTTAGCTCTAATCCTAAGTGCAAGGACAACAGTGGAAGGCAATGGCTTAGGGGATCTGTCATGAAAGGCCACTCTCCTGCTCCAAAGAAGGCAAGAGTAGAAGCAGAAGCATGAATATGATGCCCACAACCCAATATATTCTCTGACTGGAAATCGAACTGGCAACTTTTGTGTTTGTGGGATGATGCTCAACCTACTGAGCCACATCAGTCGGGGCTAAATAACAACCTTTTACAATTAAATAAATTAATAATAGTCATTATAAGAACACTTTTTAAATGGACAACAAAAAAATTAAATCACTTGAGATCATATCACTCTGAAATAACTACTGTTAACATTTTAGTTTATAATTTTTCAGATGCAAATATATTATCTACTATACTCAAAGTTCCCAAGTGCGTAGAACACTTTTTCATGCAAAACAATGCAAGAAATTTTAGAAGAACGCCCCTGTAAGGAGATCCCTTTCTGTTTTGTGAGGCCTAACTTTTAGGCAATGAAAGCTTTGGCCTCGAAGGCCAAAGTCATATACTCAAAAGCATATGACTGCTTACTTCTATATATGACATAATTCCCAGATTACAGATTTTTTACATTTTTTATTATTAATTTTAAGAAGACTGTCCATAAACCCATTTTGAATGACAGTATGAAAAAAGTTAAATTATATTACCTAGAATCAGGTATATTATTTATTGAATAGCTTACTGATATGAAATACTAATTAAGAATAGAGTTAACTGACAAATTACAAAATATTACATATTCTGTACAGTCAGTTTGCCTATGATTATGTTTTTAGAAAGTATCTGAAAAGATATATATCACATTGTTTTATAGAGGTTAGTGTTGCTTATTAGGATTCCAAGTGCATTTTACTTCCTTCTTTTTAATATTCTATCATTCTAGTATTTTTATAATAAGTGGTTTTCTTCTAAAAGCAATAAAGTACGTAGTAGTGTAAAATTCTACATTAAGACTGGATTTTTCTTAATTTAATAAAGTTCTCCGAAGCAAGAGGACTTCCAACTTTCTGTCTTCTTCCATGCTCACAGCTCAAAAGTCATCTGTCAGATGCAAATTGCTCCTAAGACGGGCATACCCGCAGCCTGTCCTGCTGGGCTTATCTGGGTCAGTCCCTCAGGTGCAGGGACCACCTCCTGGCACTGAACCTGCACACACCCAGCACGCTGCTAGGCACATGAAAGCCAGTACAACAGCAGCCCTCAGAATGCTTTTCATGGAGAACGTACTCACGCAATAAGTAGGACTCAGTGAGAGTAAACCAAGACAGCAACTGAATTTGTATCTGAAGAATGTGGAGCCGCCCTAAATTCCTATCAAAGTGACTTGACTGTCATATCAGGAAGGTAGAAAGAGAATATGATTATGACTTTAAAAATGTAAATCTACCTAGTTGTCTACATAGGATGCCATGTGGAGAAATCAGTTTGAAGAGACTAGAACATTTTTTAAAAAAAGAAGAAGAAAGGAAGAAATGAAAGAAAGAAGTCTAAAATCTCAGAAGCAGACAGGCCATCTGAACAGGGGTGGGCGGGGTGGGTGGGCAGCCTTATTCTTTCAGGATATTTTATCAGCAATGTCTCTTGTGGCCTACACAAGTAATATCGTGTATTCTAACTCCAGGCTCACTAAGCAAGCATCTGGGTGGCATTTGTCTTCTCGAGTACATTTATCTACAAAAGGAGACGGTGCTTGCCATGACCATGTGAGTATTCTGGCCTGTCAGTCATAATACAGGTATGTACATCGGTCTCTGAGGTCTGGTTAATGTGAGTCCACTTGTGGAAGGTCAAGATCTTGGCCTTGCTAAATTTAGTGACATTTGTGGCAAATAGATCAGCTGGACATAGCCTCTCATTCATTCTGCACAGAAATGTCAAAAGAATACACAGTGTTCCCACCCTCTGCAGTGTTAGCATTCACATATGGCCAGTTTCAGGACCCAGTAATCTTAATCGGAGCCCAGTAAAATAATTTTTAAAAAGCAAAAAATAAGTAAATGAATACTTAAGAAAACACATTCAATTTTGATGGTAGTTGTAGTTTTCAAATTGTGCATCCTGTTGATTTTTCTGAAGTAATTTCTAAAGCAGTTGCCTCTTTAAAAATTATTTCCAATTATTCTTTTTTTTTCAAATAACATCACTTAATAGTGTTATTGGGCCCCAGCCTAGCAAGGGTTTTCATATCCCATAATGCCAAGACCCCAAAATCCAGGCTCACTTCTCAGGAAGTAATAGGGCCCAGAGTGGACCCAAGCAGGGAGGCCCATGTCTTTCTTCCCTCCATGCCCCCAAAGATCTAAATTTAGTGCACTGGATAGACAGCAATGGCATTAACATGTTGCAAGAACAAGAATCGAGCAAAAGAGAAAAAAAGAAGCTTAATGTGGCGTGAGGTGTTTTAATGCCATGGTAACTCACTATCATGTCTTCTCTATTATCTCCTCCACTTCCCTGGGTCAGGATACACTTCCCTGCACTTCCCTGTGTGATCAAATTAGGTTGCCCCGAATTCCTGAGCCCTCCTCACTGCCGAGCGGGGATGCCTGTTTGCAGCAGAACGTATTTTCTCCATTTTTTCCTTTGCTTGCGGACTTTTCTTTGGTGCCCATGGTGTTCCAGGTTGCTGTTTGTGGAGCTCCACACACTGCAGAGGCCTCCCTTTCATCCACATCTCACCCACGGCTCCTCGCTGCTCCTCGCCCGGCCCCTTCCTCCGGCTTCTGCAGTTGTCACCAACATAGGCACTTGATTTGTGACTCAGTGCTTCCGAATCCAAGCTCCTCAGTTCTCCTGAAGGGCCCAGGTCTCTCTTTATGGAGCAAGAGACAGATTCCCTTCCTGGCCCTCGGATCTCAGTGCCCTTAAGTTGAGATGATGCTGGCACTTGAATGCATGTCTCCCCTTCCCTTTTCCTCTGCTTGGCCCAGGGGCCCTCCCTGCTCCATTGAGCTTTGCCTCAGGAATGGCGCACAGAGAAGGTTTGCACCTTGAACATCTGCAGCCCAACCTCCTCACTTCCAGACGGGAAATCTGAGGTCCAGAGAGCTTCACCGACCAGCTGCACAGCTAATTCTTGGAGAAACCAAAACCAGTAGGTGTAAACTCATCAAATTGGCGAATTTATAAGGTGTAAGCAGGGCCCAAATGAGCTTTGATGATTATTTAAATGTTCCATCACTCATTCTGTCCTTGTCTTCCCGCCAACTGTGTAAACAAATGAAGCAGAAGGGAGACACCAACCACAGATCCAGGGACCCCTGGAGAGGCCCCTGCTTCCCAGGGGTGTGGAGACCCAGAAGATGCCCTGGGCCCCTCCACCCCATACCAGTACTAGCAGAGCAGGGTGAGGGGTTCACACAAGTTCCACATCCACCAGGCTTTTCACTACTATGCCAGTGTGCATAGTAGTGAATTCACAACATTGTTTCCCCTAAATGTAGGAAGGTGTGTAAAACACACAATGCCTCTACAAATATATATATTGCAAAAAAAATTACAACAGCCTTCTAAGTAAGCCCCAGCCTTCTGTGGGGAATGACAAAGGCGGTCAAAATGAAAGAACTCGGCCTTTTGACTGCTTGCAGGGGTGGAAGAGGAACTCACGTTTTCACATGTGCCTGAAGAGAGAACTATATCCTTGGATGCAAGGAAGCAAACCACTGGCAGCTGAGAAAAGCCACTCTTGGGTGTGAACGCGGAAGCCGGTCCCACACGGGCCTCTCTCACTGGCTGTCCTGTGTGGTCGCCACGCGGTCACCGTCCTCCCAGGGAGTCTGCTGCTGGGGCATCGATCTGCTGAGTGAGGAGCGGAGCCAGGAGGCCGCTGCAGCTGCCCACTGTGATTAAGAGCTTTATTGATTTTCTAGCCCATGACCACGGTGGTGGGGACAGAGTACGACAGAGGAGAATGGCGGGGGGCCAAGGGGAAAGGTTTTACTAAATGAGCTCTCAGTGAAGAAAACGGTGGGAAAGAAGAGCACGATGGACACAGCTTTGGGGCCAGGAGCGGTGGGAAAGTGAAACAGCTCAGAAACGCTCTTCCGATTGGAGCTGAGACCGCTGCAACCCCCAGGTGGCACCACGGAGCCCAGTGCACCAACGCACTGCACCTTCACCCTGTACCAGGCGCTGTGCTGAGCCCTGGGGCTTTAACTGAAAATCAGGCTGTCTGGAGACAGGGACTGAAAACATACCCAAAAATAATCTGCAAAAATGCAAATATATAGTAAGGGCTGTCATACAAACATTTGCCTGAATCGGGGGCCCAGAGCCAGCAGGAGTGGTGGCCCAAGTCAGGCAGGCCTGTGGCTTGGCTGCTGCCTGCCTGCCTCGGGTGCGAATCTGATGAAGGTCCTCACTCAGTCCCCATCCGGTAGGAAGACCCTGGGCACTTCCACCTCCAACCTTCACAGGCCCAGGAGGCCTGCTTCAGTGGTGCCAGCTGTGTGCAGGGTTCCTGGTATTTGCAAGTGGCAGGTGGATAGGAGGCCCCTGACAGCTTCGTTATGCAGCAAAGTCTGGGAATCCTCACGGCAGCAAGGGGGTGGCTTGACATCCTCCTCTGAATGCGAAGGCAGGAGAGGACACACGGGACACGATCCCCGCTTTCATCCCCCTACCCCACTGTGGCTCACCTGTGTTCGGAGGGGAGATTTCTTCCAAATACATTGCTCCTGCCTCAGCCACCTTTTAGTAAAGGAATACATTATTTTTGCTTCCTTTCAGCTTTCAAAAAATTTCTGCCCTGCCCACCCAAAAATAAACTGGAAACTCAGGAAGAAGATGAGTATCTGGTGTGTTTTTGTTTATCACTGTAACATAGAAGGTAGGAGATGATATGTTTAAAGGGGAAAATAAGGGGGGAAAGTCACATAACTTAAAACCAGTGTGTGACCAAACTCAGTATATGATGGCTTTTTTAAAAAAACTGAAATAAAATTCTCTTTCTGAGGCTCATAGTTAAAAATGATGTGACCTGAGTGATTCTTCTCTCTTCCACTGCAGGGACGTGTCCTCAGTGCAGCTGTGGCTGTCCAGGGTCCACACTGGGGGCTTTAAGGAGGTTTGACTTAAGCCAGAACAGTCCAGGGAGGTGTAGAGTAGGCGGAAGGACCTGTAGGTGGTGCAGGCTAAGCCTAGGAGGACCTTATTATCCCAGTGCAGCCAGAGCCTCTTCTCTCCTGGGGGAGGAATTCGGGTTGCCAGGGGTTGCGAGAAGCACCAGAACCCAAGTCTCCTAGCTGCCGGTGCAGGGTCCTCCCCTGTCTTTCTGAAACAGCCCAAAGGCAGTTGAAATTCCTGGCAGTACATGGAGCAAATGTCCCTAACACTTTTCTGTTTCGCAGAGAAAGACCGAGTTTAAGAAGCAACTCCTAACACTCTATAAAAATACCTGGCATTTAAGCACACAGCCAAACAGCAAGGCGTGGTGGGTCTCCCTTGTGCTGGAAGCACCATGCTTTGCAGTCCCCAAAGCCTGGTGCGTCCGCTGTGCAGAAAACAAAATGGAACAACTTTCATTCCTCTCCCTCACCCCTCCCCGGTGCAGTAGCTGTTCTTGGCAGATGCCCAGAGCGGCACCCGGTAATTCCACAGTACACTATGTGTATTTGCATCTATTTAACCAGCTATTTACAGCCACCCTGTATGCCACCTGTGAAGAGACGACACTGCAATGGAGCTAAGTGGCTGGGCCGGGGACCCGGTGCCTGGTGATTGTCTCCTCTTGAAGAGCTCGAATCTGTGGAGTGGTTGGCACTTGGAGAAACGGGATGACAGCTGGGGACATCGCCCGTCCAGGGCGCGCCAGACGGAGGGTCCTTCCTCGTCAGCTCCTTTTCCACGACCCCACCGCGAGGAGGAACCAGCGTGCCTTCCGTGCGGCCGGTTTCCTGCCTGACACAGAGTCCGCAGTCGCTTGGACTCGCTGAATTTTGAATCGCGGAGACACCCGGCGGTCCTGAGCAGGGAGGGGAGGCAGCACGCTGGCGTGGGAGCCACTGTCCCGCGGAATCGGGGCGGCGTCCCCGCCTGGAGTCTGGGCAACCTGCTGTCTGATGAGATGCGGCGACTCAGGGACACCTGCGCTCCGGTGCGTGCCGCACCCGTGCAGCTCCGGGTGGCAAACGGGGTGAAGTGGCGACGTGGGCGAGAGGAAGTCGTGGCGCCAGAGCGTCAGAATCGCTCTTTGGAGGTTGTCTGAGTTGAGGGGGGGGGGGGGGGGGCTGGCCGGCGCCAAGGGGCGAATTTCCAAGTGCCCCCTGCACAGCCCGAGGTCGGGAGCGCGAAGACCCCCGAGGACAAGTGCCTGGCGGTCCCAAATGCCCGCGAGACCCCCTCGACGCCCAGGACCGCGTGGCGAGCTCGGCGCGCACAGAGACGCTGAGGAGCCGAGGAGAAACCCCGATGGGCCGGGGGGCTGGTTGGCTGGGACGCAGAGGCGGCGCGGACCGGAGCGCCTTTCGGTTTAAGGAGCAATACTTCTGGGAAGGGACAGGGAACTGTCAATCAGCGAGGGAGGGAGCGCACCGGCGCCGGGTGATGTCAGCGGATCAGCTGCTCGCTAACAAAGAGGGGTTATTACAGGAGAAAGTTGCGGCGGCCGCGGCGGCACCCCGGGGCCTCGGAGGCGAGGGGCAAGTGGGCGAAGGGAGGAGGGACGGCTGCGGCAGCAGCAACTGGAGGCCGAGGAATCGAAAGGGCTGTAGGGGGAGGCAGTGCGAGCCAGCCCCGACTGCTCCTCCTCTTCCTCCTCCTCCTCCAAACTCGCAGGGTTCAGCCCCAGCGCTCGCCCAGCCGCCGGAGCACCCGGAGGGACGGGAGGCAGCCGTGCGGCCCGGAGCTGGGCAGGGTCCCCAGCCGCCATGGATAGCGACGACGAGATGGTGGAGGAGGCGGTGGAAGGTACTAGCGTTTCTCCGGGGCCGGGGGAGGAGGCGCCGGGGGCTCGGAACGCGGAAGGAGTGGCAGGCTGTGACCCGCGCGGCGCCGGGCCCCGCGGCCGCCACTGTCCCCTACGTGGGCGCCCCGCCGCCCGGCTCGGGCACGGGTCGGACAGCCACCGCCACGCCGCCGGGAGCGCGCACTGCGCGGCGGGGCGCAGGCCGGGAACCGGGTTCCGCCGGGCGGGGGCTCCGGGGAGGGCACGGCCGCTCCATCCCTCCGGCCAGAGCCTGCATCCCACCCTCGGAGTTGCGAGCCGCGCTCCGCACTCTGGCCTTCCCCCTCTCCGGGATGGAAGGTGGGGGTGCGCCAGAGGGCGGCCCCCTGAGACCCGCGGTCTCCGCGGAGCCCTGCCCCCGCCCGGTCGGGCAACCCCGAGCCCCTCTCCAGCCGCCAGCCTTTTCCTTCCGCTCGCCGCCGGGACCCGCGGTGACCGCGACCGCGACCGCGTCCGGGTGGGTCCCCCGGCGCGGCGCACGGGGCCGATCCTGGCACGTGGCAGCGCGTCCTGGGCGGCCGCTCTTCCGAAAGGATGAAATCATTGCAAGGCGAGGGACAGCGCTCCCGACCCGGGGCTGGAACGCGCGCCGACCGGGAGGCGGGTGGCCCTCCCCTGCTGTCCCCGGGCGAACTCAGCCGCACCGCCCCCTCCCCCTTCCCGCTGCCGAGCCGGGGCCGCGGCCGCCGCCACGCTGTGCAGGCGCGCCGCGAGCCGGGACCGAAATTGCTGGGTGACAGTTAACTTTCTGAATTCCGTGCCGTTGGCTGAGGGTGAGATCACCGCCTCGGTGTCGTATTTCCCCGCCCCCTTCTCCTCCAGCGCCCCTCCCCCCGACTTTCCTCGCCACTTTGTTTTGCCGAGTTTCTCCACCTCTTTTTTTTTTTTTTTTTGTAAGCTAGTTCTAAAAACCGAGGTGGGGACGTTATACAATCTCGTTGTTTGTATCATGAGATGTTATGATTTTGTAACAACGAATACTGGAAAATACACTTTGGCATATTTATTTATTCGACTCTGCCCAGCCTGTACGTTGCGATGTTTTGCACTGTTGTATGGTATTATTCCAGAATATTTATTCTTATTTTTTATAATTTTAATTCGTACTATTGTGATATATTTATTAGTAAAAGCTTGAAACCCAGAATAGTTTACACTAAGCATCTAAGCACACAGTTTTCAGCTTTGGGTTGAATCTGGTTTCTATCTCATTGGTAGAACCAACTTCTCATAAATAGTCAGGAAAAACCAAGTGGCAACACCGTGCAAATGCATAAAGATACATAGTTATTGCTGCATTGGGAGAAGTCCATTTTTATGTTTTCATAAAACATAATTGACTCCTTTTGCAGTGCTGCTGAGGTCCTAGGATGAGCTTAAGTAGATGACTATTTCTAAATTCCTTAAAAGGTAACTGTTATAATGCAATTATTAAAACATATTTACCGGCTTCAAAGAGTGTTTATTGTTGTTTTAATTTCACAGTGTTGTGACCTCACAGAACTATTTATCTCTCTGATAAGTGAAGCCCATATATTGGGGCTCATTGGGGTGCAAAGACACAGAGGCCTTCCCTGGGGGGAGCCTTCCTACAATTTAAGTTATTGACCTCTTGTGCCTTCATGTTATGAAAGATAAATGAAAAAAGAATGCGCTTCTCCAGTTGTCAGGGCTTGCTCTCATTCCTCAAAGTTCACTTTTACTTGTGCTTGTAAAACTCGAATGCCAACCCTTACCCACGGGCAGTGCTCTCCAGGTGAAATACTTTCTCCTTTGAAGCTGTCTAGAAATACAAGTCCATGGTCCCCAGGCTCCTTGCAGAATGTGAGCAAGCAACTTGAGAAATGTATTGATGTTGTGTTTGAGCTTGTTCAGCTCACAGAAGCAGAGAAAGTTCTTTAAACAAGGAAGGTTCTGAACAGATCAGCCATCACCACAGGGAAAGGGGGTGGGGTGGGGGAAAGAGGTGAAAGGGGTCAATTGTATGGTGATGTATCCATCACCATAAAGTAATTGGACTTTTGGGGGTGATCACTTTGTAGTACATACAGATGAATCATGTTGTACACCTGAAACTTTTATATGTATGTTCTTAGGCTGGGACAATTTAGGCTTAAGCCTTGAATGTTTGGGGCAATCCAGGACACATGATAATTCAGTTGTACCTAATAGTAAACAATGACAGTGACACAGAATGTTTAAAAGTCATTCGAGGCAGCTAAGGCTCCAAGTTGCACAGCGTCCAGAGCAGGAGAGGATACATGCAGGAAACTGCACTAGTGGGCTTTTCTCCAGCCATGCTTGACTGGTACGACGCTAGTCTGAACATCGTGGAGTTCAAGTACCAACTAACCTGCCTCTGCTCTCAGTGGTGTCCTTGTCGTAGTTCTTATTATTGCTGTAATTGTGTAGTTCTTATTCTGTGCAGGTTCTGTGCTGAACGGCTCGCATGCACATGATCCATTCAGTCTCGCGGGGTGGGTATTAATACTATCTGAATTTTACAGAGGAGGAAACTGAAACGTAGACAGGTTAATCCAGAGCCTCATTCCCAACTCTCTCTCTCTACATTTTCCTTATTTTTGACTTTTAACGAGTCATCACATGTAGGGAACACAAGAACTGAGGCTGGAAGCAACAGGTAAATATCATGTCAGTATCTCTCTGTATCAGTGGCAACTCCTCAGAGGCTGATTCTTTGGAGTTCAGTGACATTCAGAAGAAAAAAATGTATCTGGGGAAAAAGAATTTAACTTGCAGCCTCTGCAACAGACTTCCTTTTGCCTCCTCCTAAGAAATTTACTCTGGGGAACAGAATTGGTCCATTCAGGACTTGGAAGGTTTTTTGCCACACTACGCATTTTGCTTCTCTGTCCCGGTGGAACTGCGGCTCCGGTGAAGTTTTGAGCTCCGAGTGGATGAATCCCTGAGGACAGCTGGGTGGTGGCGGCATGTCTATGTACCAGACTGACAGGGCCCCCCTGGGACAGGAGCCGGCCCTGTGCCCCAGAGGCCCAAGGCCTCCTCCACCTGAGCTTCTGCAATGAATTTTTAAAAACTCTTTGAGGCTCATTGGTTCAGTGGGAACTGAGGTTGAGTTTTGGAAACAGAAATATTTATTACTATATCTATGTGTTTGTCTTCCCACAGATAAAAGGATAAGTACAATGTGTTTCCTAATATAATCTCAAATAAATACATCATATCTAAGCAGATGAATTAGGGCAGTTGAGAGGAAGTAAACATTACTTCTGGTTGGGGAAGGGGGTGGAGAAAGAGCTCCCAGAAGAGGCGGTGCGGCGTTGAGTTCCCTTGAGTGGGGAACTTTGTGCCTAAAGATGGGGAGGATGGACTTACACAGGCATGCTCAGGGACCAGTCATCTGGTCCTGCTGTGACTGAGGCCCAGGAGAAGAGTGGAGGGTCAGATGGGAAAAAGTGGCAGCGTCACAGGCCATAGTCGTGGACGGGGCTGGAAGCCATGGGAAGCCGGGGGGCTCTTTAAAGCTGGGAATGACAGGGAAGAGCTCTGCTCTGGGCAGGTGGAAAGGCAAAGGTGAGCGGAGAGGCCATTACCTAGGACGCTCCTTGCAGGAGTCCAGCGTGCACTTATGAGGGCAGGGAAAATGGAAAGACCTGGAAACATACCAGAGACAAAAAGGGGAAAAACCGAATCCCCAGAACTAAGGAGCCAGAATAAAAATAAGCATCTCAGTGTTGCGCTGCCCCAAGCCCTTCAAAACATCAATAATGTTTTTCCTGTCCCCTAATATCTCATCCTGACTGTTTCTCATAAGCCTGTACCTGCTCTGTACTTAAGAAAAATGCGTGCTCAGTGTACTGGCCCTCTGCTTGTGGCCACACCTCAAAATTGTGACCCTCACAACTAATCACTGAGCTCTGGTAAAGAATGACTCTCAAGCCGTGGCTGGCATGGCTCAGTGGGTTGAGTGCCAGCCTGCAAACCAAAGGGTCGCCAGTTCGATTCCCTGTCAGGGCGCGTGCCTGTGTTATGGGCCAGGTCCCCAAGTAGGGGAGAGTTCGAGAGGCAACCACACATTGATGTTTCTCTCCTTCTCTAAAAATAAATAAAGTATTTAAAAAGAAAAAGAATTACTCAAAAATAAAATTATGTTTTTATCACTGACCAGTGTGGCTTGGTGGGTTGGGCATCATACCACAAAGTGAAGGGTTGCCAGTTCAGTTCCCAGTTGGAGCACATGCCCGGTTTGTGGCTTGGGTCCCTGGTTGGGGTGCTTACCGGAGGCAGCTGACTGGTGTTTTTCTCTCAAGTTGATGTTTCTGCTTCTCTTTCTCCTTCCCTTCCCCTCTCTAAAAATAAATAAATAAATATTTTTAAAAAATCAAATTATGTTTTTAACAACTAATGTAAATGCATTATCATGAGGGCATGTTCTTTGCTCTGAACAGAATAAGCTTGCCTATTATTATTATTGTTACTATTATTTTCCTGAAGCAACTCTAGTCTACAAAATCAACAATGCATGTAAGATGTAGGAGTCTTTGTTCCAAGGGAAACACACACACACGCCCACACACACGCACACAGACCACACTCAGCTCCGCTGTGAGGGAGCCCAAGGCAGGAAGCAGGCTGGCGTCTGAAGCGGAGGGGCGCGCCTGGCCCAGGCGCACAGCCACCGCGAGGAGCACAGACAGGCCTGGCTTTTGTCAGATTAAAGAAAAAGCTCGGAGGGAACTCGGGAAAGATTTCACTCTCTATCCATTCAGAAGAGAGTAATCTTCAAAACAAAGCGGAAGAGTAGACTGAGGCCGTTACGTTTTTTCCCTTTCTCTAACTTTTATAAATATTTAACATCGGGCTGCAGACAGATAAACAGCACAGGAGCTGAGACGGCATCATCAACATGGAACAATCTTCCCAGCGAAGCCTCCGTGTTGTTTGGCCGCGTGTTCAGCCTCCATTTAGTGGGAACTGGCCAGGAAGGCTGCTGGCTCCCTTGGCGCCTGTCACACATTGACCTCGCTCAGAGACCAAGGGGGACTACTAGTGTTTCTCTTTGAGTTAGGGAACGCGTGGAAGGGACAGGAATTTGCATCCGGAATATGCTGTCTCGAGTCCTGGTGGCTGTGTGAGGACTATTTCCCCTGAGAAGGCTCTTCCCACTCCGTACCTGGGACCTGGGCGCCCCATCCTGGTTAGAGGTACCTGCGCCCACCAGCAGCAGGGAAGGAAGAGCCTTCAGCTAGTGGCCCCTTGTGTCGAGAGAAAGGGAACTGAAAGACTCTGGAAAGGGGCTCTCAGCCTCCAGTAGCACATTCAGAGCAGTTAACGTGCTTCTTGGGCAAGTCACATGGCCTTGGCTTCCTCATCTCTACAACTGGCACTTGGGAGATTGTGGTGAGGTTTAGTTTAGCTCACAGGAAAGCACACAACCTAATGCCAGCTGCATCATCAGATACACAAACTTCTTTCTTCTCTGGATATCAGCTTCCCTCTGCCTTGAATTGACTGTTACTGACAAGACAAATACGACACCATCTATTGGCCAGATGGCGTTTGAACAAGAGCTGGGTCGGAGGCTCCTCGAACACTAACGTTGAAGGGAAAGGCAGGGGCCTGTCTCTTCTCCTCCCTGCGTTTCTTCCCGGGAAAGTCTCTTCGTTGTTACTGTTTGGGGTGGGCTGCTGTTTTTATATGTTAAGTATAAAACAGCTGCCCAACCCACAGGCCATCATACATTCTGGGTGGAAGTCTTGATGGACGACGACCCTTAATGTCTAGCTCCTGTTCGTCAATCCTGTGAATTGGCCACCTCTCCTCCTTTGGGAAGAAAGCATCAGAGGACAACAAGGGGTCCTGCAGTGCTCTGAGGGGGGAGGGGGGGTCCCAGTGTTCTCTCAACAAGCAACCCAACACCTCTAAAATGGCAGGGAAGAGGCAGGTGTCCAGACACCTCCGTCTAAACACATGAAGTCACCAGGCACAGCCATCGTCCTGCAGCTCCTCTCTGGCGCTCTCTCTCCCTAGAGACTAAGAAGGTGATGGGACCCCCTTTGCTGACCTGTTGAAAGAGGCTGACCACATAGAGGAAGGCTGATGTGTCTGCCTTCATCTCTACCGGGATCAGAACCGGCCCTCCAGTGCTTCTGGTGTGTTATATGACACTTTGCATTTTCTCTGATACCTCAATTCTGCTGCCAAGCGCAAAACTGCAGTGTTTTATTTAGAAATAGGACAGGACTGTTGTGATTGAGGGAAGGTGGAAATGAGTTTACGTTGGTTTCTTTTTCCCTTAGTGTTCATGGTTATCATAATATTTCCCTCGACCTAAGGTAGAATAACAGATTTTTCTCAAACATGAACTTTTTGAAGTCTGAAGTATGTGAACTCTTCTCTACGGGGAAAGCGTTTCCAACAAATTAGTTAGTACTTCAATACAAGGCTAAACTGATTATTCTGATATGTACACCTAAATCAAAAGTGACATGCCAAACTCATAAGGAGGTTAATAGCTAAACTGAAGTTGATCCCAACGATGTTTTATAAAAGAAAGTGTTTAGCTATACACTGAGTGGTGTTTTTAATGGAAATTTAAAAGTAGATTTAATTCGTTTCCATGAGAGGTATGTTTTCAGTGGGTTATTTAGAAGATAACTGTCCAAACTATTTCATATGACTCGGTGTTACTGAATTATGTGACATGCAGTCGGGTTTTAAGTGAGAAGAAAGCAATTATGGCCTATTTCCCTTCAGACCATTAATTTCCTGGCCCTTGATGGAAAAAAAAAAAAAAAAAAACCTGTGTTGGGAGGGGCGGACCTCTGGCAGTTGTGATGAATTCAGGCAGCCATGTTTCATTGCAATACATTCCAGGGAACTCATTTTGTACAGAGTCAGACATAAAGATAAAACAGGATGCTTGTCCATCGTTACTTTGCGCTTATATAATCATACAATAAAAATAAGGAGGTTTTTGTTCTTTATGAGAGTGTTTATCTGCCATCTCTTCCAAGGGATGATATTCTTCTAGCGCTTTAGAAGAAATTGTTTTAGGAGCCTCAAGTGGCCGTGCGGTGACACAGTGTGTGTCTTCTCTGTGTCCGCGAGCCATCTGGAAGCCACACTTAAGTGTCTCCTGTCCTCGCACTGCCCACAGTTTTTAATGCTTCTGTACCTTTTTATCCATGACCCAGGTCGTTCACCCTAGAAAAAGCCACTAGATTAACTACTGCCTCCACTGTCACCCTCTGGGGAGCGGGTTAGCTCCCCAGAGTGGCTGGGGAGGCGCCCATTGGGGGGACTCCTGGCTTCTGTGACACGTGAAGATAATAACAAAAATCCTAAACGTCGACCAAAGTACGTTCGCCTGTGACCCAGCAGAACCAGCCGGTTAAAGATCGTAACTGCTGCCGATATTCAAAATCACCGTTTTAATGGCCACCTGGCTGCCTCTAGCCCCATTTTAAGGACAAGCCCTGCAAACACAGCAATAGAGGGCAGGTGACAAGGTTATTAGTAAACATTCAAAGCTGGGAGACTTTGTAAAGTAAAGCAGTTAAGTTCAGGGTTAAACTTAAGCTCACACCTGGACACCAAGTTCACGTTCGCACAATGAGGTATACAAACATTCGTGCGGTTTTAGAGACGTGGCCACTACGTGCGTTGTCAGGGTGAAACTAATAGCAGCGCGGTTTTCAGAAGTGCCCTGGCCACCAGCCCTCCACGCTGCGCGGTCGAATGGCGGAGAAACTCGTACGGCACACTAGTTCTCCAATCAGGTGGCTGGTGGCAAAGACAGTGTACCTGGTGACTATAAAATGCTGTTGTCTCGCCTACATTTCTGGTGAGCATCAGTTGGGAGGCCTTAATCCCTAATTTGAGAGGTACCGGGTCGGGGAGGACTTGGTAAACTGAAACAGGCTCCCTACGTGTCGTTGTTGACAAGAACCCTCCGTCGCCGCTGAAATGCAAGCTTATTTTGCGTTCCTCTTGGAAACGCGTCTCAGCCCCTCTGCCGGGGACCCGTCCGCTCACACAGTGGACAGAATAGTCAGGTGGCGCTGCTGGTGCAGGAGGCCGGTGCGCTCCCTTGTCCGGGTGACAGGAGGCCTTGCAGGGCCCGGGAAGGGGCCCTGCTGCGCTCCTGGGCCTCGCCAGCTGCTCGCTTGCTCGGACTCCCGGGTGGGGAGCGAGGACCGCGCTGAGATTTGCTTTGTGCCTCCCTCCCTCCAGGGCAGCTGGACGACGACGGGCTGCCGCACGGGCTCTGCACGGTCACCTACTCCTCCACCGACAGATTCGAGGGGAGCTTCGTGCACGGAGAGAAGAACGGACGCGGGAAGTTCTTCTTCTTCGACGGCAGGTAGCGCTCCCAGTTCTGTTGCTGTTTGTTGGGGGGAGGGGTCCGAGTGAAAGAATTCCAGTGGACGTTCTGGTAGAACTTCCAGAAAAGGGGGAAGTGACCCCCACGTGCGTGCATGCAGCCTTGCTTGGGGGGCCGCGGAGCGCCCGCTGGTGGCGGGGAAGCGGTTCCTGGGCTTAGCCCTGTCTCCGGGCCTCCCGGGCGTGCTCGTCGAAGCTGTACTGTGTGCTGCCCCCATCTCGCACACGCCGGTCGCGGGGGGTGGGGTGGGGGGGCGGTAGCCACCCCTTTCTTTGATGGAATGCATCTGCTCGTTCAGGTCCCCATCTCAAGGAAACCACACGGTGGGGTGGCCGGTGCCTGGGGCCGGTTCAGGCGGCTCCAAGTGCGCTGCCCGGTGCAGGCCTTACCTGCTCTCTGGGTCCTCACGCCCTGCCTTCCTGCTGTCCTTAGGGGGGAGTCCCCACCTCGCTGGTTCCGCAGCTCCATCAGCCGCCCAGCATGTTCCCCGTCCTCCTGGGCCTGGCCAGGAGAACAGTTAGCGAGGTTCTGCAGGCCACGACGCCCGGGCCCAGGCAGCAAGGCCTGGACAGGGAGACGCAGAAGGTGTGCAGCGCCCGCCCGGCGGCGGTGTGAATGCCTGTTGGGCTGACTGGTCTCCGTGTGTGTGAGGCCTGGATGCTGACATCAGCTCCGGGGTGTTCCGAGTTCCACCTCGAGTTAAAACATTTCACTCGCTTTCACCTCCTGTAAGAGGACGCTGTGGGGCAGAGGCTGCCCGCCCTCCGGTGTGTCTGGAAGGACTGTTGGACGCTCCTCGGTCGAGGAGACAGGGGTGCCCGGGCTCTGCTTTGCTGTGATGGCTTGTGAATGTGTCAGCTTCAAAAAGGACGAGTGGCCACGTGGCTCTCCCAGGCATGTAGAGGCGCGGGGGCCACAGAAGCGCCAGGCCACTCAGACCCCCGGTGGGGTAAGTGCAGAACCGGGTTTAGCTAACCAGCCGGAGGGCTGCACAGGGCACAGGAGCGCTTCCTCAGCTCTTGACACCGGCAGCACCCAGGAGCTTTCCACGCCTGCGAGCTCCCTGGGAAGGAAATGTCTCAGCTGACAGTTGAAGGGTGACCAAAGGGACTGGCTTGTGACCCAGAACCCCTCTTCCACAGACAGATTAGAGTAGGCTGTTTGTAAAGAGATGAACAGCCCCTCGGGCTACAGATTGTCTGCCATAGGAGGGGCAACGGAAACAATAAAAAGCCATCATAGAGCTTTTGTAAAACTTCATTTTAATTATTCATTCCAACTGTCCTTCCCATTGCCCCTGACCCTACACCTCTCGTATTTTTTTTAGCAGAGCTTTGCTCACAAACTGTACATTTAAAAACAGTCAGATACTTTTCTTCCTTTCTTGTGCCACCTTTGGAATGCCAGGTGGGTCCCTGAGTGCTGGGGTGGGGGGCCTGGGGGCTCTTCCAGCTGGAGGTCTGTGCTCTCTCCGCCCGAGCTCCCTCCGCCCGAGCTCCCTCCGCCCATCTCCAGGGAAGTGGCTCCGGTTTCCTCAGGTCCGACTTCCACAGCCGCGTCTTCAACGCTGTCTTCTGGAAAGCCTCCCTCCTTCCCTCATGCTGCGATTATTCTCTGATTCACTTCGCAAATGTAACCTATATAAATGTCTTGTTTCCCCTACAGGGCAGAAGTTTCCTTGAGGGCAGAATCTTGTCTGTTTCCTCTCCTGGGCTTCCTAGCACTTCCCCATAATTTGATGCTTAAAAAAAAATTCTTGCCGAATGAGTGTGGGAGCTGAGAGAGAGAATTTACCCAGAACACACACACACACACACACACACACACACACACACACTCATATTCATTCTCTCTCTCTCTTTCGTTCTCTCTCTCTCACACTTTACAGCTGGTAGTTGGAGGAGGGGAGCAAGTGATCGGTTGACTCCAGCAACCCAGCCCAGCAGGTTGGGTTGGTTATTAGCGTCAGTGTGGCTGCAGTTTTAGTGCAGGTTGTTTGCTTGTGTCTCAGACCTGACCCACAGAGTACTGATGGCCGAGCCAAGCTGCCAGACCAGTGTGCCGGAAGGAGCTAGCCACTTGTCAGCTCCAAAGCACTGATCCCTCAGCCCTGGGCACTGAGGGGGGGGCCGAGTCCCCCCAGAACCTCCCTCCCTCTGTCAAGCCGGTCACTTCTGGCTCCAATCAGCTGCACCCAGTCACCCCCGTGTGTTGCGTGAACGCAGTAATTGGCCTGTGTGTCATGACAAGGCAGAGCTGACACACTGCACCAATAACTATCTGTGCGATAGACACAGATTCACTGGCTTTTTTTTTTTTTTTTGAGGCACCAGCTCACTAGTTTGCATACCCACTGCTGACCCCTCGAGAGACACTTAGCTCAAATAGTAGACTAAAAAAATGATGGTGTTAGGAGACCCGCCTTTGTTAGCTGTCTTCAAATGGACGGGGACGAAGGTCTTGAGGGGAGAGGGTCAGTATCGTTGCTTGTATGACATGTGATGAAGCGGTGTGGTGACAGGTTCTCGTCACCGACTTTCTTAAACCCAACACTGACCCTGTTAGGAGACACCTGCCGAAGGATTCGCTGTTCATGTCGGTGAGATCGTCTTATGACTGGATTTGGTCGTGGAAAAGTCCGTTGCGGCATGAAGCAGCACCGTTCTTTACATTTGTCTGTTACTTCTTCTCCCTATTGCCACGCCTGACTTTGAGGGTCTGTGTGTTAGATTGGAGGGAACCCTACACCCTTCCTGCCATTCAGGAGGCTTGGTCTGGAAGCATTCCCTCACAGAGGCTGAAATCAAGGTTTTGAAAGAACAGGTGAGGAAACAAAGTTTCTATGAGAGTTTTTAGGAGTTGTTCAAGCATGTAGGGCCGGCTGATGCTCCCATCCAAGGCTTTGACCCTGACTGCAAGAACCTGCGTCTGCAAAATCATGAACTACAGACACAGAAGATGCAGACATTCTAATCTTATATGAAACTCAAGGGTGTGGCTTTTTAAAAGCCAGTTTGTTAAGCTATGATTCACATGCAGAAAGCTGTGCATACTTAATACACGTCACTCAATGAGTCTGGAGTTAAGTATGTGTCCACCAAACCATCATCATCATCTATGCCATTTACTGGGTGTGATCCATGAGAAGGTTTCATACAAATATGAATTTATATCAAGAATATTCTGCCCTGGTTGGTATGGCTCAGTGGATTGAGCATCAGCCTGAGAACCAAAAGGTCACTGGTTTGATTCCCAGTCAGGGCACATACCTGGGTTGCAGGCCAGGTCTCTGGCTGGGGGTGTGCAAGAAGCAGCCAATTGATGTCTCTCTCTTGCACATCAATATTTCTATCTCTCCCTTCCCCTCTCTCTAAAAATACATTAAAATTTTTAAAAAAGAAAAAATTTTCCACAGTTTTTCCCTTAACACAAATTATGATCAACCTAAATAAAGATTTTAAATATTCATATCACCAGGAAAATGTCCCTGTTAAATTTTGTAGCCAAAGTCCTAGATGAAAGTGGATTTTATTTTTGAATTGCACGTGTGGCAAGTGCTTGGTAGAATAAAAAACCCCAAGAAACAGAGAAATACACTCAGTGAACCGGGTTCCCTGTTTTCACTCTCCCCTTCACGTCACAGGTCAGCGCTGCTGGCGGAGAATCGAAGTGTCTGAATTACGCATATTCAAAGTAAAATAAGGAAGTAGCCACTTCTAAACCTCTAAGTTAAGTTCACTTAGTCGAAGTGTACACTGTTTGCCCTTGTACTTCTGTTTCAGCTTCAGAGCGTTTGCTGGTTTTGAGAGCGAGGTCAACAGTTGGTCTTTCCTTCACTACATGGCAAATGTAGACCAGGAAAGACAAGTCACTACAACAGGTGTGTTAAGTCGGAAACCCAAGTCAGACCACTCACCCTTGGCCAAACAGTTTATCCCCCAAATGAGGGATGAAGGTGAGAACTGACCTGACTCTGAACATTGTTTTTCCAGCAGCTATGGTTTTCCATCTTTTCCTCTTTTTAAAGGAAAGAGGGATGTGTATGAAGGTTAGGTTTGTGGTCCTAGATAAAGGCATCTGTGCTGTGAGGGGAAGGCAGCGGGGCTTGGCCTGGGAGGCCGGAGTGGATTTGCTGGGCCCCGGCGGGTGTGACAAAAATGTTTACTGTGCAAAATGCTTTGATACACACACCTCTAATTTTCATACTGATCCTCAATTCTAGAAGTTTATGATCATGGGTTTTTTTCTTGCTCATAACTGTTCTGATTTCAGCCAGGATTATGGATGTAAAGACAATTTAGCAGAACTTCCCCAAACCCTAGATCGGTGACAAGCAAGGGGTGTTTCCATGCAGACAGGCTTTGGGGTTTGAACTGTTAAGGAATTGTGTTTTTTTAGCCTGATTATGAGAGAAAGAGATGAGTTCATTCTTTTGATTTTATTTTTTTAACGTTATCGTTGCTTCTCCTTACATGCCAGTTAGGTTCCCAAGTGTTGTTTATCGCTCTGTGAGCTCATGTTCCTGTGCCCCAGTCATTTTCTGAAGTTGATTTGCTACATTAACAGGTCCCGATAAGAGAGCTCTTTTGTGGTTCATCACTGGACTGGCCGAGTAACCTCAGTGAGGCTGCCCATCTGATGAGCCACGAGACACGCTGACACGTTCCAGGTGATGGGTCTGTGATGGGTCTGTGAGGGATTCCTTGTGTTCACATTTTAGAAAGTGCTTGGTCACACTTCAGAAAAACTGGTGTTGAAACGAACTTCTGAGGTCATGTGTTCTAACCTCCCACACAAGGCAAAATGAAAAAAAGGTCTGGACTTCTGCCAAGATGGAGGTATAGGTGGATGTGCCGTGCCTTCTCACACAACCAAGTTTAGAGACAACTAAATATTAGCAACAGAAAACACAGCCAGAACATAGAAAATTGAACTTTTCGGAAGTCCGTTAACAACAAATTCTTCAGCCTGACCGGTAA